TAACGATGTTAGGGTTTGTTCTCCTATATCACTTGGTCTAATGCCTGAGAGTTCAGGGAGTACATCTGTCTGTAAGTTGTGCATCTTGTTATGAGTCTCAGCGCACTGTTAAGTACAGTTTTGAGCTTTTTAGTGTAACAACTTCTGAGCCATACAGGAGCACAATATTCTGCTGGGGCATATACCATTGCAAGTGAGGTGGTTCAGAGCATTTCAATATGCTGTGCTGCCGAAACATCTTAAGGCAGCTACCCATGCAGAGACTTTACTGGTGACCTTCTGAATGTGATATTTATAGGTGAGGGAACAGTCTAATGTGACTCCTAGCAAGGGTGGGGTATGTTCATTGGGAAGGATGTAGTTGCCTACTCTCATGCTCAGTGTGCTCTTAGTTCAGTGACTGTCCAGATGCAAGAGTGATGATACTGATATATTGATGCTGAACTTTAACTGTCATTTGTGGAGATAGTCAGCTCAGTGGTCCAGGAAACCTTTTCCCATCTTTTGTTCAGATACACATCATACCTCCTACATGTTTACTGCGTCAGCACATAATCTGTCCATTCTTTATTATTCACCTAGTCACAGTCACTCTCCCTTAAGCTTCATATAATCCAATCTTTTTATATAGAGAGTGGTATGTCAATGTACATACTGGAAGCTGGCATCTTCTGTCTACCATCTCTGGATAAGGCACGTACAAAGCAACATGGTGTTGACTGGATGCAGAAACATGGTGGCCAAGAGAAAAATATCAGATTAACACAGCTGTATTCAAACAGCATCAGCTTTGGTCACAATCAGTGGATCAGCCTCTGGACTACTGCAGAGTTTTGCGGGGTTTTTCTACAAATTAATTGAACACCATCTTGAACTAGACTTCATGTTCATTTATTCTAATCTGGACACTCTACAAATATTTGTGCCCTTTAAACAAACATTTGTGGAATGTCCAGAGTTGCTTGTACAATTATGATGGCTAATTTGAATTAGCAACCAATTAGTTTACTTGTATAGGTATCTCCAGCATAACCCAAGTTAGCTATAAGAACATAAGAAGTGCCATACTGAGTCAGACCAATGGTCCATCTAGTCCAGTATTCTGTCTCTGACAGTGGCAGAAGTGAATGCTTTAAAGATGAACTGGTAAGCCAAAAGTGAAAGACGTCAAGGAGACTGATGACTAAAGAAGTAGTCACCAACCAGTGGATCTTGATCCACTGGTAGATCTCTGAGCCTCTTGCAGTTGATCCAAGGCTGGGGTGGGGAGCTGAGTGCATGCACATGTGAGCCCCAGCCTCTCAGGTCAGTCCATAGGGGAAGGGGCGGGGGCTAGATCGAGGCGCCCACGGTGAGGGACAGTGCCACAGACTCAGGAGCAGGGGCAAATTTAGGGAGACCCCAGCCATGTGGGACTTACCTGATGGGGAAGCATGCCCCCTGTCACGGAGTGGGGCCTGCGAGCGGCTGTGATCCCGCTAGCGCCCCCTTGCCGTGGCAATTAGGAGATCAGCACCCTCTTATTCTCGCCCGCCACGTCTTTGAT